TTTCCTGCAAAACGATGATGTGGTACGTAATGCGCTCTGCAGCGTCGAGAGGAGCGTGGAGGTCGGCGTTTGTGGAGACTGTCCTGGCGTTGTAGGTGCAGAGCCTGAGGCAGTCTCCATGGCGTGTCGTCCGGGCAGACGTGTCGTTTTTGTCCGATCCAAAAGGCTCCCTAAAGACCCTGACATCGTTCTTGCTACCACCCGGCGCCGTAGGCGGGATCCGATGTACAGGGTTTTTTCTAAATCTTCTTGCTGTCTGAGTAATAAAATTTGTTCCCCTCAAGAGCAGACTTACTAGGCCAACTCTTGATTTCCACGGGGCGATCGCTGACCCGGGCTTGGAGCGGGGAGAACCGCCTAGCGACCAGAAGAAACTAGACGGCGGGGGATCTGGCGTGGTCGGTTCTTAGCTAGACATCCGGCCGAGACCGGAAACGTCGAACTCCTTCACAGCTTGAGAGGCCCTACCAGAGTATACACTCGGCTGTGCATCGCAGTTCGACACCCAGTGTCACCCCCACGCCACGATAAGGCGACCGACCATTGTGGGGGAGGGGGGGGGGTGAGTAAATAGAATTGTTTTATCATCAATTTTTGGAAGCGCAACCAATTTCTTTGGTTCAAAATTTACTCCGAACTGGAAGTAGCTAGCGTTGTGACAGACTTTCATGTCCAAAATATAGTAGAAATTTTGCATTACTGCCGTAGTAGCGACATTCAAAAACATTCAGTTGATGAGGCCGGAGTGTGTTCCAAATAAAATAGGGTTAAACTTGGCTGATGAGATCAGTTTTAAAACCATATCGGAGTCATTTTTCTACTTTTCCTTTCCTTTATTGTGTTCAAATTTTCGGCATGCGGCGTACATATACCTGCGGTCAAATTCGAACAATTCTAGTTTTGGACTTTACGGAAAGATTTTCTTCGTGTTAGGCTCTTACATAAGCTATTCGCTGGCGCCATTCATGCTCTCAAACATGATTTACAGCTAATATAGGCAACTCTATAGGGGCACTCCAACTTTCTTGTTTTTCTTAATTTTTTAAAAATCTCTTATTTTTCTTTTCCACTTTTTTAGATTTTATATGAACTTCTAGGAGCAATAATAGTAACCATTGGGCAGTTTGGAAATTCAAGCTCTTCAGTAGTCAAATCGGAAATTTGCCAAAAATGATTCGAAAAACTTTTCAAAAAACTCGAAAATTTGATTTTTTATGTGTGACATGTATTAGGTCATTTCGGAAGTAATTTCGTTTTCTTCAAACGGGCGCCACATTTGATGAAACAAAGATTTCTAGAAGATTTCGGTAGCATTCGGTGCAGCATTTCATCCTCTTTCTAACATACATGAAAGTGTTGCAAATATTCAATGAGCTTTCAAAAAATAACCAAAGTATGCGCTCTATGCTTTTTGAGACGGTCAAGTTTCACAATTTTTTAAAACTTTCGTACCGATCCTCAGAAGGAATTCAAATAACAGTTCGATAGAGCAAACCTTATAAAATACAGTACAACTTTTAGCTTGCGGTAATTTTTTGAAATTTTTTAAACAATTCATTGGATTTTGGCAGGCCTACATCAGCCACAATCGAACCACAATTAACGAGTTATGATAACTTTTCGGAATTTGAGACTACCAAAATGGTACTATGAGTTAGCACTAATTTTAAAAATATTTTACAAAACAAGTGAGAGTTGACGGGTTCAAAATATCAAATTTCAGTTTTTCGGGTATGGCCTGGGACACGTTAAAAACGAGTTATAATGATTTTATTCCCGAAGTCCCCACGAATCGGAAACAAAAAACACCCGTTAGAAAGAGGAGAATATGCTGCATCGAATCGTGTCCGAGCTGCTCTTCCTTTGATCTACGAGGATTTAGCTGTACAAGTATGGAAATCGGTAGCATTAGTTGAAATTCTGTTAAAAATGTATGACAAGCTATGGAAAGGAGAAAAAGTTGTTTTGCATTCTGTAGGGTTCTCTATGAACACGCTACTTAAACTCCTTCTGAGGATTGATATTGTTGCGACTCGGTGGGCTCAGCACCCCCTTGCTCGCTCGACTGCCAACACAATCTTGCACCTACTCCTGCACACCCTAGCGCCGGTTAGCTACTTCGGCGCGACCGACAAATACCCCGCTGGGTAACAATAAATCATAACAACAAACACGCGACTAGATTACGACTAGATTTCTTAAATTTTTCTAAAATAACAAAACACTGCACTACAAAAAAATTAAACTACGAAAAATCATAAACTACGGTAAGACAAAATACGGGAGAGTCCGCCTCATCCCCAGTCGCCGATCATCACCAAGCTAAATCTAAACGTAATGTCAGGGAATCCCGAGGGTGGACCGCTTACTCGCCTCCGCGTAGGACAGGTACTCAGACAGTCGAAGGGATACCTCCGGCGGGCAAATGGCGCGAGTCTGCCACTTCGCGCTCTGGAGCGCTCTGGAGCTCTGCCATTTCACGCATTTTGCTGCTCCGGGGCTCTCCCAAAACTGGCGCACCTCCGGAGCAGAGATTTGCACGTCCCGGAGGGGGGTCCCATTCGCCTGCTTGTGACGTCACCGTGAGTATCGTACCCCGAGTACCCCGGGATCGTATTCGCAACGAGTACCCCGGGATCGTATTCGCACATGGATTCATGGCGCGACACATCAGTTTCGCGCAAGAGCCCACACGTGTCGCGTCATGAATCCATGCGATACGATCCCGGGGTCCAGTTTGGAGGAGAATATCTCAACTGTGAGTTCACCATTTGAGCTGCCGCTTGGGCAGTGTCTTGATTAAAGGCAGTGGATCAGCAGAATGAACCCTTCTCGAATTTCGGTGGATTTAGGTAGTAGACCTCCTAAGTACAATGTAACCCAAACCCCATCTGCCAGTTCATGCGCTAAGTCCTGGAACATGCTCTTCAAAACTCCACCAGCCCCGCCCACTCAATGGAAAAGGGCGGGGCTGGTGGAGTTTTGAAGCGGATTTTTCAGGACTCAGCGCATGAATGGGCAGGTGGGGTTTGGGCTACAATGTACTTGGGGGGTCCACTACCTAAATCTACCAAAGTCCGAGAATGGCCCATTCTGCTGATCCACTGCCTTTAAGGCCAGACGGTTTATACAGACGGGTTCTAGATACTTGTTCGAAAGTCCGGAAGACAAGATCCATGTTTACTTTGACCTCAGCTTCATTGCAGTGCAAACTCAGTTTCTTATCGCAAAACATATGAAGGGAGTCATCCTGGTAGAACCTAAAATCAAAAGTGTAGGGTCCGTTAATCGTCTGCCGAAAGCACTGTGGTGCTGGATGACGTAGAAACAGCAGCTTTGAGTTAATTTTCCACTCACAAGGGAAGTTCACCTGGTCGAAGTGGAAATTCGGAAGATGATATATACTAATGAATAGAGCTTGAAATGGTGAATTCAAATATGCCTTCTGTATCTGCGATGCATTTTTCTGAAAAAAAGTTATGGATTTTTCTAATGCCAAATTTTCGTGCATTTTGAGGCGCAAAGTCATGGTGATTTCTACACAAAAGTGTGCAAGCTCAAGCAAACCATCTGGTAAGCATTCTAGGTCTAATCTGAATTCATCCAAACGTTTTCGAGTGCTTTCCGACCATGTGGTCGAAGTGGAAATTCGGAAGATGATATATACCAATGAATAGAGCTTGAAATGGTGAATTCAAATATGCCTTCTGTATCTGCGATGCATTTTTCTGAAAAAAAGTTATGGATTTTTCTAATGCCAAATTTTCGTGCATTTTGAGGCGCAAAGTCATGGTGATTTCTACACAAAAGTGTGCAAGCTCAAGCAAACCATCTGGTAAGCATTCTAGGTCTAATCTGAATTCATCCAAACGTTTTCGAGTGCTTTCCCGACCATGTGGTTTATCTATAGTCTCATTTCCTTTCTAGATCACAATTCCATTATACATACAAAAAAGCCCATAACTCAACCTAGAAAGCGTCGCAGATATTAAGGATATACAGGGTGTCCCAAAAAATGTGAACACTGTTTGATCGTTAATAACTCCGCTGCTTTCACGTTTTTTGCCGAGCTTGAGGCACCATTCTGTAGAGCGAGGTTCAACTTAAATTCGTAGTATGGAGCGAATCACCGATCGCTGTTCGTTACTGTAAAATTACGGTATGAACTTCTAGCATGTGGGTCTATTTTGAAATATGCCATTTGACAGTTTATTCAAAAAATCTGAGAAATTGTGTACTAGGGTTTTCGTGTACGCTGATTCCATTACACAACTTTTTACGAGTGTTTTTAACCTTTTTGACGGGGTAATCACATTTCTGACAAATGCTGGAAATTCAATTATTACGGTTTACCTAGGATAACCTTGGGAGGAAGCATCACAATAAAATGGAAATTTCATATTCGAAATCAGCGTCTTCAATCACCATAATATAGAAGTTTTTGGCTTATTCGGTTTTGTTCCGAGGCAGAATACGGCCTCCAATGGCCTAAATTCCTTGCCGAAGTTCCCACCGTAGTCCTACAGTAATGAAGAGCGATCGCCGATTTGCTCCACACGGTAAATCTAACAATAAGAAGAAAGGTGAAATCTATAGAAAGGTGCCTCAAGCTCGACGAAAGACATGAAAGCAAGAGAGTTATTAACAATCAAGCAGTGTTCACATTTTTTGGGACACCCTGTAATTGAGAACAGCGTTTTACGTTCTATCCATTGGTATAAATCACGTTCCAAATCGCCACTTCGATTCAGCGAACTTCCCTTGTCAGTGACCGCCTATTCTTTGACAAATTGAATAATCACTGTAACGACTACCATTATGGGCAGAAAAGGTCACCGTTTCCTTTTGCCTGGAATGAATCGTGAGAAACAGAAACTCTGGACCTGGAACTTAGCACGAGTAGAAAATTGCAAACCTGAAAGTGATGTGATTGTACCGATTTTTCACTAAGCACCAAATCTGCAAACCTGAAAGTGATGTGATTGTACCAATTTTTTACTATGCACCAAATCTTCTCATACTATAAAAGAAGACGGTTTGATGGGCAGAGTAACATTTTCCTTTACCGTAACCTCCATCACTTCATTGGTAGGTTCAGTTTTACACGCAAAGCTGTGGCATGCACAATCTTCAGTCCTCTTATTTTCTTACAATCAAGCAAATCTGGGCTTGTTGTATGACTTTATTTTAACAGTACATCTTTCCAACTATTTTAAAGTAGAAAGGAGCCGATAACCAAGCCTAACGCAATCTTAGTTTGCCACTAATGGTATTCTGCAACATGTACGCTTCGCTCAGAGCACTGTTCGCCGGCTTGGCTCTCTAGGCAAAAAACTGCGAGCAATTCTTAGTTATGATTTGCGCAATTCTGGAAAATTCCGACAGTACTCCAAACACAAGCTTTATATTAGAGGATAAACTGTCAACATTAACAATAATTTGTTTGTTATAGATGATTATGGGGTAGCTTGCAGACCTTTATTTCATCCTTTTCGTCATGTTACTGATGGTAAGTGTTAATAATATATTAAACTATACATTATCTGATAAGCAATTACAGATTTGCTCCGTTTATGGAAGGGTTTGTACCTTTATCGGCGGAAGAAGGATTTGTATCTGAAGGCTGAAGCAGGCGCCTGCAGAATAACGGAATTTTAAGAATGTTTTTTGCTAGTTGAGATTGAAAACATCAAATATACGCAATAAATGTTCTGTTGACTTTGAGCTTTCCCAATCTTGTCCGATGTGCGCTAGGACCTCAAGAAATATGTCTGTCAGCTGCAAATACTTTTCCGAAACGAAAGCATGCTTCAAAAATCGGAACAATGTTTTAAATGTCATCTTCAATCATTTTTGACTTAATATTCGTATTAATATACTACTTAATATTCTCACTGTTCTCCTTGTTTTCTTATCTCCTTTAATCTACAGGGTATCCCAAAAAAATGTTTAGAACGTTTGATCGTTAATATCTCTCTTCCCAAGAAGTCTTTTGCCTTGCTTCAGGTACCGTTTTGTAGAGCTCCTTCAACTTAGGTTTCAGTATGGAGCGAATCACCCATCTCTCTTCATTACTGCAGGGTTACGGTAGAAACTTCAAAGAGGGTTTTGAACCATGAAAGGCCATATTTTGCCTCAGAAAGGAAACAAAACAGCCTGAAAACTTTTACACCAGGCTAATTAGAATTGCTGATTCTAATAGTAAAGTTCCCAACTTATTATGATGCTTCATTGAAGAGTTATGCCAGGTGAGAGGTAGCGGCCTTTTTTTCAATGTTCCTAAAAAGTGCGATTACACCGTTAAGAAAGCTTCGAAATTTTGTGAATAGTTGAGTATTGAACTCAGCGTCTATAAAAACCCTATTAACAAGTTTTCACAATTTTTTGAAAATTTTTGAAACGGCAGCTTTTTCCACATTGATATGTTTCAAGTTTCTACCGTAACCCTACAGTAATGAAGAAAGTTGGGTGATTCGTTCTATAAAGGAAATCTAAGTTGAAGCCAGTTCTACAAAACGGCACCTGAAGCAAGGCAAAAGACTTCTTGGGAAGAGAGATATTAACGATCAAACGTTCTAAACATTTTTTTGGGACACCCTGTATTTAGATATGCATTATTGATTGCACAATTCTACAGTTGATTACGTAAAAGCGATTCTACCGAAGATTTACTAGTAAATGTGAACCAAGCCCTCTACTTTCCGGGGCCATCAAATTGGTACCAGAATAATCCGGGAGGGTAAAAGCACTGACTTGGTAAACAGCTGGTCCTCGCAAGTTGTAATAGGCTCGCACGCATACGATTGCCTCTTCGACTATGAAATAGTGTACGCTCGGCGCATGCCCGCAGAGGGAATTGAAATCGCCGGATCCTTTATTCTTTATCCACTAGTAAAAATGTTGTTGCGCATAGTGCGCAGTCTTACATATTGGGAGGTTACAAAGTCACATAAAAACCAGTTTCTTCTTTGCAGCATTTCACAGAGGGTATAAAGAAGCTACATTAATGGTGCTCCAACTTGAAAAGAATAAACAGCAGTAGATTTTTTTTCTCCTGATTAAATGGCTATAGATTTCGCAAGAACAATAAAAGAAGCACGCCCAAATTTGGAAGGAAATCCTGTGGCAGCGGGTACCTAAAGGTACACCTTATTTGTAAGCTGCTAGAACAGCTCATTCTAGTTTGATCGTGCGCTGGTGCATGCTACTCACAATTTCCAAAAGTGAGTAAAAACAAAAAAAACACGAGATTGCTCTTAGCATGAACATGCAAGCCTTATATTTTTCCGTCTCATTCTTGAACTACCTTAATTTCACGCGTATAAGACTCACCTTTTTCGGTTCTTCAAGCTTGCCGTTCTGCCGTTTCGTTGTGTTTCGGGATACGAGACTTATGCCGCACGATACTCTCAGGCAATATGTAGCACTGTAAACAGTTTTTTAGTCGCAAAGTCTTTCGGCGTGTCTGTGCTGTTCGGTTTTAGAATAATTTCGACTGTTCAATAATGGGTGAAGGACTTGTCGCCGAAAGCGGGTGGTCCCACACTGACATCTGCCTCTAGGACAAACCCTCCGCACTGTCCGCGCGTGGGGTGGAGCCTATCAGCGACATATAGTTCCCTATTCAAAGATTTAGACTATGCAAGAAGTTCTCGTGTTAGCTTTTTATAATTATTGCTTTATTCGAAGCTAACCTAGGGTGATTACTATTATAAGCGAATACTAAAAATAATTCTCTTTCTTATGAGTGCTTCTCTATCTCACCGTCAACATTATTGAAAGCGGTTGTTGAGGTAAGGAGACATTTTGTGCAGTTCCATAAGTAAGCAGCAGCTCCATAAAAAAGCTTTTTGCACATAAAGATTACAAAAATTCTATTAGGTCGGTCCGAAAGTTCGCGCTGTTTTTCAGAGCCATGCTTAAGCCACTTAGAATGAGGAGGACAAATCTGTAAGCACTATCCGATGCAGAATTTCTTCCTCTTTTTGATGGTTATGTTTTTGCCAGGATTCCCTTGCCGCTCAATAATCGGCAGATCAACCCATGATTTTCACCTATCCCCAGTTTGGCTATTTTTTAAAATTTCCATTTTCAACTTTTATACTAGCTTTAATAACAGTTGGATAGAATAAACGAATGCAATACAAAGAACTATTTTTCTTCATCATCCAGCTCTTCAGTATTTTTGAGACAATTTCCAAATTCCCAGTTTTGCGTAGTTGCGAAATACACAATCGCTTCAAACACTGACAAATCTTCGAAATTTAAAGCTTTCACAAACAGATTATGACTTAGCACCAATCTTAGTAAGCAACTGAGCCTTTAGCGGCTCGAAATAGTGAATTCCGAATTTTCTGAGTACAGCCTGGGGCGCGACTGAAAACAAAATTTATAGTGATTTTATCCTCAAGTATTGCACAAGTCCGAAAGAAAAGAATTCTGCCAGAAAGAGAAGGAAAAACTACATCAAATGACACTTTGGTTGCTAGTCGTTTTATTCTATGAGGATTGAGATGCCCAAATGAAATATGATAGCATATCAAAAATTTTGAGAAGCCAGGTAGGATGCCTGGAAAATGTATTATATCGCATTTTGTTCATTCAATCTAAATGTCATCAAAGTTAGTCCAAAAGATGAAAATGGAAATTTTAAAAAATAGCCAAACGGAAGATATGTGAAATCATGGCTGGAGAGACTTGCCGATTAGTGAACCGAGATTGAGGGAATCTGAACGTGAACATGACCATTAAAAAGAGGAAGAAATTCCGCATCGGATAGTGCTTACAGCATTTGTCCATCTTCATTCTAAGTGGTTTAAGCATGGCTCTGAAAAACAGCGCGAACTTTCGGATCGACCTAAAAGAATTTTTGTAATCTTTATGTGCAAAAAGCTTTTTTACGGAGCTGCTGCTTACTTATGGAACTGCACAAAATGTCTCCTTACCTCAACAACCGCTTTCAATATAATATTGACGATGAGATAGAGAAGCAGTCATAAAAAAGAGAATTATTTTTAGTATTCGCTTATTATAGTAATCACCCTAGGTTAGCTTCGAATAAAGCAATAATTATGAGGAGCTAACATGAGAACTTCTTGCATAGTCTATATCTTTGGGTAGGGAACTATGTACATGTCGCTGATAGGCTCCACCCCGCGCGCGGACAGTGTGGAGGTTTGTCCTGGTGGCAGATGTCAGTGTGGGACCACCCGCTTTCGGCGACAAGTCCTTCACCCATTATTGAACAATCGAAATTATTCTAAAACCGAACAGCACAGACACGCCGAAAGACTTTGCGACTAAAAAACTGTTTACAGTGCTGCATATTGCCTGAGAGTATCGTACGACATAGGTCTCGTTTTCCGAAACACAACGAAACGGCTGAACGGCAAGCTTGAAGAACCGAAAAAGGTGAGTCTTATACGCGTGAAATTAAGGTAGTTCAAGAAGGAGACGAAAAAATACAAGGGGTGCATGCTCATGCTAAGAGCAATCTCGTGTTTTTTTTGTTTTTACTCACTTTTAGAAATTTTGAGTAGCATGCACCAGCGCATGAACAAACTAGAGTGAGCTGTTCTAGCAGCTACAAATAAGGTGTACCTTTAGATACCCGCAGGTTTTTTTCCGCCACAGGTTTTCCTTCCAAATTTGGGCGTGCTTCTTTTATTGTCCTTGCGAAATCTATAGCCATTTAATCAGGAGAAGAAAAATCTACTGCTGTTTCTTCTTTTCGAGTTGGAGCACCATTAATGCAGCTTCTTTATACCCTCTGTGAAATGCTGCAAAGAAGAAACTGGTTTTTATGTGACTTTGTAACCTCCCAATATGTAAGACTGGGCACTATGCGCAACAACATTTTTACTAGTGGATAAAGAATAAAGGATCCGGCGATTTCAATTCCCTCTGCGGGCATGCGCCGAGCGTACACTACTTCATAGTCGAAGAGGCAATCGTATGCGTGCGAGCCTATTACAACTTGCGAGGACCAGCTGTTTACCAAGTCAGTGCTTTTACCCTCCCGGATTATTCTGGTACCAATTTAATGGCCCCGGAAAGTAGAGGGCTTGGTTCACATTTACTAGTAAATCTTCGGTAGAATCGCTTTTACGTAATCAACTGTAGAATTGTGCAATCAATAATGCATATCTAAATAGATTGAAGGAGATAAGAAAACAAGGAGAACAGTGAGAATGAGCAGGCTCCATTCGTAAAGATTGTCCAGTAGCTTGCATGGAGTGTAATACAAATATTAAGTCAAAAATGATTGAAGGTGACATCTAAAACATTGTTCTGATTTTTGAAGCATGCTTTCGTTTCGGAAAAGTATTTGCAGCTGACAGACATATTTCTAGAGGTCCTAGGGCACATCGGACAAGATTTGGTAAAGCTCAAAGTCAACAGAACATTTATTGCGTATATTTGATGTTTTCAATCTCAACTAGCAAAAAACATTCTTAAAATTCCGTTATTCTGCAGGCGCCTGCTTCAGCCTTCAGATACAAACCCTTCTTTCGCCGATAAAGATACAAACCCTTTCATAAACGGAGCAAATCTGTAATTGCTTATCAGATAATGTATAGTTTGATATATTGTTAACACTTACCATCAGTAACATGACGAAAAGGATGAAATAAAGGTCTGCAAGCTACCCCATAATCATCTGTAACAAACAAATTATTGTTAATGTTTACAGTTTATCCTCTAATATAAAGCTTGTGTTTGGAGTACTGTCGGAATTTTCCAGAATTGCGCAAATCATAACTAAGAATTGCTCGCAGTTTTTTGCCTAGAGAGCCAAGCCGGCGAACAGTGCTCTGAGCGAAGCGTACATGTTGCAGAATACCATTAGTGGCAAACTAAGATTGCGTTAGGCTTGGTTATCGGCTCCTTTCTACTTTAAAATAGTTGGAAAGATGTATTGTTGAAATAAAGTCATACAACAAGCCCAGATTTGCTTGATTGTAAGAAAATAAGAGAACTGAAGATTGTGCATGCCACAGCTTTGCGTGTAAAACTGAACCTACCAATGAAGTGATGGAGGTTACGGTAAAGGAAAATGTTACTCTGCCCATCAAACCGTCTTCTTTTATAGTATGAGAAGATTTGGTGCATAGTAAAAAATTGGTACAATCACATCACTTTCAGGTTTGCAGATTTGGTGCTTAGTGAAAAATCGGTACAATCACATCACTTTCAGGTTTGCAATTTTCTACTCGTGCTAAGTTCCAGGTCCAGAGTTTCTGTTTCTCACGATTCATTCCAGGCAAAAGGAAACGGTGACCTTTTCTGCCCATAATGGTAGTCGTTACAGTGATTATTCAATTTGTCAAAGAATAGGCGGTCACTGACAAGGGAAGTTCGCTGAATCGAAGTGGCGATTTGGAACGTGATTTATACCAATGGATAGAACGTAAAACGCTGTTCTCAATTACAGGGTGTCCCAAAAAATGTGAACACTGCTTGATTGTTAATAACTCTCTTGCTTTCATGTCTTTCGTCGAGCTTGAGGCACCTTTCTATAGATTTCACCTTTCTTCTTATTGTTAGATTTACCGTGTGGAGCGAATCGGCGATCGCTCTTCATTACTGTAGGACTACGGTGGGAACTTCGGCAAGGAATTTAGGCCATTGGAGGCCGTATTCTGCCTCGGAACAAAACCGAATAAGCCAAAAACTTCTATATTATGGTGATTGAAGACGCTGATTTCGAATATGAAATTTCCATTTTATTGTGATGCTTCCTCCCAAGGTTATCCTAGGTAAACCGTAATAATTGAATTTCCAGCATTTGTCAGAAATGTGATTACCCCGTCAAAAAGGTTAAAAACACTCGTAAAAAGTTGTGTAATGGAATCAGCGTACACGAAAACCCTAGTACACAATTTCTCAGATTTTTTGAATAAACTGTCAAATGGCATATTTCAAAATAGACCCACATGCTAGAAGTTCATACCGTAATTTTACAGTAACGAACAGCGATCGGTGATTCGCTCCATACTACGAATTTAAGTTGAACCTCGCTCTACAGAATGGTGCCTCAAGCTCGGCAAAAAACGTGAAAGCAGCGGAGTTATTAACGATCAAACAGTGTTCACATTTTTTGGGACACCCTGTATATCCTTAATATCTGCGACGCTTTCTAGGTTGAGTTATGGGCTTTTTTGTATGTATAATGGAATTGTGATCTAGAAAGGAAATGAGACTATGGATAAACCACATGGTCGGAAAGCACTCGAAAACGTTTGGATGAATTCAGATTAGACCTAGAATGCTTACCAGATGGTTTGCTTGAGCTTGCACACTTTTGTGTAGAAATCACCATGACTTTGCGCCTCAAAATGCACGAAAATTTGGCATTAGAAAAATCCATAACTTTTTTTCAGAAAAATGCATCGCAGATACAGAAGGCATATTTGAATTCACCATTTCAAGCTCTATTCATTGGTATATATCATCTTCCGAATTTCCACTTCGACCAGGTGAACTTCCCTTGTGAGTGGAAAATTAACTCAAAGCTGCTGTTTCTACGTCATCCAGCACCACAGTGCTTTCGGCAGACGATCAACGGACCCTACACTTTTGATTTTAGGTTCTACCAGGATGACTCCCTTCATATGTTTTGCGATAAACTGAGTTTGCACTGCAATGAAGCTGAGGTCAAAGTAAACATGGATCTTGTCTTCCGGACTTTCGAACAAGTATCTAGAACCCGTCTGTATAAACCGTCTGGCCTTAAAGGCAGTGGATCAGCAGAATGGGCCATTCTCGGACTTTGGTAGATTTAGGTAGTGGACCCCCCAAGTACATTGTAGCCCAAACCCCACCTGCCCATTCATGCGCTGAGTCCTGAAAAATCCGCTTCAAAACTCCACCAGCCCCGCCCTTTTCCATTGAGTGGGCGGGGCTGGTGGAGTTTTGAAGAGCATGTTCCAGGACTTAGCGCATGAACTGGCAGATGGGGTTTGGGTTACATTGTACTTAGGAGGTCTACTACCTAAATCTCGAAATTCGAGAGGGGCTCATTCTGCTGATCCACTGCCTTCAATCAAGACACTGCCCAAGCGGCAGCTCAAATGGTGAACTCACAGTTGAGATATTCTCCTCCAAACTGGACCCCGGGATCGCATCGCATGGATTCATAGCGCGACTCCAGGCAAATCTGGGCCTATGGAGATCTCACTTGAAAGGTAATTTTGGAGCCCTGATTAAGACGCTGCCCAAGTGGCAGCTCAAGTGGTTACACAGTTGAGATATTCGCTTCCAAAGTGGACCCCGGGATCGTATTCGCACATGGATGGCGCGAAACTGATGTGTCGCGCCATCCATGTGCGAATACGATCCCGGGGTCCACTTTGGAGGCGAATATCTCAACTGCGTAAACCACTTGAGCTGCCACTTGGGCAGCGTCTTAATCAGGGCTCCAAAATTACCCTTCAAGTGAGATCTCCATAGGCCCAGATTTGCCTGGACGCTGCCTTTAACTAAGCGAAATTTTCTCACGCTTGCTAACAGCGAGAGTATCTCACTTGTTTGCGCCTTCTTCATGAGGTCATGAATTCTACTCAAACAGGACTTACATCCAATTTCATTAGAACGGCGCTCTTTTTAGAGACACAAGACACCGCGCAAAAATTCGTCTGCAATGTTTGCAGGAGTAGCAGAAGCAACCGAGCCTATTTTTAGCGTCTAATGCAAAGAAGATGATTCTGATAAGAGGAGCGACATTCAATGAATCAACCTCCTAAGCTATCGCGCAATATTCTAGAAGTGACTTTTGAGGTCTAAAGTGCCAAAGACGATGCCCTTATCATACCGGAAGTCCTACGAACGTGTGATTTTAGACGGTGCGCCACAATAAAACAATAAATACCTCACTCAAATGCCATGGCCACACCATTGCTATGAATTTCGACACTGTTAATAAATGTTATGATAATTGGAGTCGTTGTAGTCCACAAACACAGGTATGTTCATTTGCTAAATTATTTATACTTTTGGCTATTTATTTGCGTAGCTTTACGTTCCGTTCTGGCGGCTCTGCGACAGTAGTCGGCTGCCTGGGTATCACTTGCACGCCTTCCCATTTGAGTAGTAGTAGAAGCGACCGAACTTATTTCTAGCGCTAATATAAAAAAGATATAAAATCTCTGATAAGAGGAATGACATTCAATGAATCAACCTTCAAAGCTATTTCGCAATATTCTGGAAGTGACGTTTGAGGTCTGAAGTGCAAAAGACGATACAAGACGTTTATAGGACTTCCGTAATGCTCTTATCGATGCGCCGTAATAAATACCTCACTTAGATGCCACACCACAGCATTGCTATGAATTTCGACACTGTTAATAAATGTTATGATAATTGGAGTCGTTGTAGTCCACAAACACAGGTATGTTCATTTGCTAAATTATTTATACTTTTGGCTATTTATTTGCGTAGCTTTACGTTCCCAATTTGGGCTTCACTTCTTATCCATCATAGTGACATCCGTCATTCGTCAAATTCTAACCAAATCGCATCAGGTCGGCAATGGTTACCTTTGGAAACCTTGCGAAGAGTACTGCCAAAAGTGCAAAGGAAAGGCAACCGGTAGTTGTGAGCCAGTGCAGAATCAAATGTGCAGTGGTGGATTTCAGTGCCAGTAAGTAATAGGCATAACGTAGTTATGAGTGCGTTCAAAAGATTGATTCAGGTGCAAAGGAGGTTCATACCCCAAATCAACAAATCCTATAGATAATGCGACTTGCAAACTTGGCCTCTGATGCAAGTGGAGAAACAAGTGTGTCGTGAATACAGTACACTAATCTATCGTGATGAATGAATTGATAATCATGTCTTATTTGGTAATATTGTTGCAGATTATAACTTCGCAAAAAATCTAGAACTTTACATAGACAATAGTGATTTTTGACAACCCTGTAAGCACAGAAAATGCATGCAAGAAAGAATGGCAACTACCTTGCCCAAATCTGGATACATTATCAACTTATCAACTGAGGAAGGAGATGTTTGTGCACATTTATTTTATTCTCCCAATTGTTAGATCAGACTACGCATCACTTCTAAGCATTTGAATACTTCGAATTGCAAGAAAAGGTAGAAATATACTTATCTTCTTATTTGTAAACTTCTGAATTTTTGAGAAATCAATAGAAAACCTGTTAAATTTGCTGCTTCTTCTCCTTCGGAAGTTCGTAGCTAGTGGGATTTCAAATTTGAGAATGCTATCCAACCTGATCGTTGCATGTATTCACTCGTCGCATACGAAGATGTCGCCCCAAAATGGATTTTTTAAATGTTATAGGTTGTGAGCTAACACTCCAAAGAAAGATGGGGTTTTATAAATTGTAACTTTATTGTACGAAAAGTTCGGAGCCAACTAGAAAGCCTAAATGCCGCAAAATAAGATCAAGGAACTCTACCCAAAACCTATGCATTTTCACTTGCTTACGCTTACACTCCACAGACGTCCATATACAGTTGCTGCATTTTCTTTTCGGCAATAAGCCGAGTAAGCGGAAATATATCGTGTTTGAGCCGAAGCAATTCTAAGCTGTTCCCAACTACTAAACGTATGCTATTAACTTTGTGCAATAATAACCCGTGCTTTGCCAAGTCCTTATTTGACGGGCTATAAGTTTGTTGGACAGTCCATAGCAAACAACCTTTCGCGACTTAGCGCAGACTTGCTTATACTGATATTATAAGCAGGAAGGAAAATGCAATGAAAAAACACCGTTTATGACAGATCATGACTCAGTGCTTTGATCGGTATGACTGGTAATGCAATGGTCACTTCGAGCCAGTAATACAAAACGAGAAAAAGAGTCCAATGCGAACACAAATAAAAAACTCAAAAACCGTGAATTACGAACAATTTCATTTCTTCAAGTATTGAACGTTTGCAAAATTTGAACGAGATCTCCTACCCATACCTGCAGAACTAAACAAAGCTTCAAATGGCTATTTGAACTTTCTGGGCAATCCCAGTCAAATAATTTGAAAAACATTGTTTGTGACTGAGTAAGAAATTTTCGACACAATTATGTTTTTTTTAGAAGAATGTGGGTCATCTGCGCTTGAGTATTAGCTAAAAAAGTGGAAGCAGTCAAGTGTTTGAATGCGGATATTTGGAGGGTTTAGACTTTCAGCAGATAGGGCTAAAAGCTTGCTTAGAAGAACGGCGTGGGGGGAATTTTCAAATAGTACAGATTCTATAACTTAAATTCGCCAGAATGACTGTTTGAAAAAGGATTTTGAAAATCACGCACTAATTTTTAGCCTGATAATATCCTTTAGAAGTACAATCGTGTGTAAGTAGATTCCTACATGATCTGGTTTTGGAGATATACCAAAAAACCCTTATAAGCTTTAGAAACCCTTATAAATGCAACTAGATTTCAAAGATCAGCTCCTCCAAAAAGCGTATTTCTAATGGCTTGGTTATATTAGACTGATGCATAATTCCTGAACCAAAATAGGTACAGACCGCAATAATCCGAAATAATCCTATATCCCAAATAGAATTCCATATATCATAAAATAGCGCAAACCTAGCTCTACAAGATAGTGCTCAAAAGTCTACACCAGCTTTGGTCCACGCGAAGTTTTCAGCCGAAAACTGAAAAAAACCATGCGTCCGAAAACCTTGAGACCAATCAAAACAAAATTGTAATTCGTTCAGAAAGCTTCTGCAAAATTTCTTTCTTGCTCACGCGTAGACATTCCACGTAAGACATCTATCTATGTGGGCTGTATTTTTTTCTCAGCTAGACGCTGAGAAAACGGTTTTTCATTTTTTTAACAAATTAATGCTGAGATGTTCTAGCACTAACAGTTGTATAGTGCATGCCGTTAGCAGTAAAACTTTACATTTTCAGCCTTCTAAAACAGCTAGTTCACGAGAAATGACGAATCTAGCTCTCTTCATCCGGATTTTTCGTGCCTAGCTGCCAAAATTCAATATTTCTCGTAAACAAGCTGCTGTCAAAAGCTGAAAATTCACATTCACGCTTCTAAGGTCCTATAGTAAACAACTGTCAGTGCTACTCCTCGCTTGGATCAAAGCTGCTGCAAAACTTTAGGCAAAATCTTGTAGAGCTAGGTTTGCTCTATCTAATGATATATCGAATCCTACTTGGGATATAGGATTATTCCGAGTTATTGCGGTCTGTACCTATTTTGGTGCAGGAATTATACATTAACCTGATACAAACATTGAAGTGAAAACATCTCAGCAGCTTAGAAAATAAAACTCAGCGAACATCTTCAAACCATATCAGAAAACGAAAAATTTATTGCTTTTGCAAAAACATCAAAGTTTTCGTTTTCTGGAGGCAGCAATGTATAAACGAATATATGATGATGGACATATGTGCTTAAGGGAGGAAAAGTTTCGTGATAATTTTTGAGCCATTAGGGCATTTAAATCTTTTCGTTTCCGGCTCCAAATGCGTGTGGAACGAAGCTGGCGCTATTTGTTTTTTTCGTGCATATCCTACTCTATTAGATGGTACCCATCCACAATATAGGGGGACCCACAATTTTCTGCGGTTTTAACTTTTTTTTCCTAAAATTCCACAAACCTTTCAAAAAGAAACAAGATGCATGAAACATATATCACTAACAAACTAATGCACCTACTTCTTCTTAAGAAGCATTAAAAAATGTGATTGATTTCAAAGCGTCAGGTTAGACAGTTGTGCTACTCTACATTCTGCAATATTTATAACTGAGACCGCTCGCAAGTGGATCTAACAGCTGCGAAAGTCTGCTCGCAATCAAAAAATGCTACAAAATGGAAAAGTTGGACCAGTGTGTGTCTACTTATTTGGGAACTTCTTCGTGATAGAAAAATAGTAGTTGTATAAAAAAGTGCTGTTTTGCCTTCTCAAAAATTGAAAGTTTTGTATGCTACTGGAGAATCAACATTTTTCGGCAACTCAAGTTACACAGTTTTGATTTGGTAGTTTTCATTAGAACTAATTTTTATTGTGAAGCGCCAAAAATCTATTATTCATTAAAGGGCTCAACGAATCGAACCAAAAGTGGGAAACATCCACTAGAAGAGAATATACTAGATTGGAGCAAAAGTTTTCTGTTTTTTGAGCCCACCCGCGACTGCCTCAAGAAGACACAAAGAATTGCTTTAGAGGCAGCGGGCAGCGTCCACCCAAAATTCAGCCTCCCATGTTTTTGCCATTCCGGGGGCCTTTCTGTGGCTCTTGTTACAGTTTGAAGTTCAAATTCCTCAAAACCTCCAAGAAACACGATTTCTGGGAACTTGTCTTGAGGGCGCGGACGGCTTCTAGTAAATGTGTGGGCGGAGTCTGATAGGATCTGGGCGGGGTCTGATAGCGCTTTGACTGTTCCAGGCCCCTTATTTCCATTCCAAGACAGCACTAGAGAACCGGATCAACGCAGATGCCCCTGTCGGGAGGCCTACATTCAGGATCGACCCTAATCAGGGGGTTAGATTTAATCTGGACACTGCCTTTTTGTATTGCAGAATGCAAAATTTATTCGTCTGTTCAGCGCTATGCTCACTATGCGACTTTCAAGACGAGCGCTAAAATAATCTCCGGCGCTTATGATCTTTGATTTTTACAATGTCTAACTTTCGCTGATTCTCAGAATTTTTATTCCCGAATTTGGAAAGCTTCGATGACTAACAGATATAACCAGAGTTGAGCAAGAGGTTAGGCACAAATCCTTCAAAAACGACCCCCCCCTAGTGAAAGCCCCTAAACGACCCTCCGCTTCACCTCCAAGTCCTTAGGGTGTTATATCTGCAGGTTTCTATTTTTTGAAAATCTGTAGGCCCGACTTTCTGCGATTGCACAACCACACGCAACTTGAGCGAGTTTTAGATCTGGATAGTCCTCTTTTCAGAGCTATAATTTTCACAGGGGTGGAGTGCTTGGCTTTAGATTTTCAATATAGCATGAAGAGACTTTGCGCACAATACTCAAATCAAAAAATGGGCGATTTTTGAATGCTGAAGGCAAGTTAAGAGGGCAGGCGCAACCCCTCAAAAGCTCAGGCGGCCTGACCTTTTAAGGGGTTGCGCCTGACCCCATTAACTTTATTTCCGAAAAAGCTTTTCTATCCAAGTTTTATGTGATTCGCTAGCTCAACCCTCGAAGATTCCACAGCAAGTGTTTGAGCTTGATTTGACTTGTTTCGGCCTTGTGCTAATCCGAGGAGATGAAGCACTCAACGTGAAAAACGCGCCGGCTGGGATTTTGGCACCGCTTCTTACTTCACTGTTTGAAAGCGATATGAAGTCCGATTTGTAGCATAGACTTGTAGAGAACATTACTTTGTTATGAATATTCAAAAGCTGACTTTTCTCACTTCTGAAACCAATTTGATCACGTTTGAAAATCACGCTTTTTAGGCGTTGAGAAACACTAGAAACTGCAGTGTAATGGTTTGTAGAGTGCATAGAGGTAGTTTGACATGCTGATTATGGAAATGATACCCATTTCACAGCAAGCTTCCTTGTTTACCTCATATGTCAAGGTAAAAGAGAAGAAGATTTGGATTTTGGCTGAACCTTCCATTGTGGAAACAATCAGTATGCTGTTTATGACCGTCATTCCTTCATGTGATCGCGATATCAACCGGACTAGCGCATTTCTTCTTTACCTTCACATCTCCCCAACTTAATAAATTCGATTCACAATTACGACCCCCCCCCTCAGTCTTACTCTCAATACGATCCCCCAGGTCGGGCGCGCCTGACCCCACGCTCACCCCTGGATATAACAAACATTATGCATATCAAGGGTTGTTTCATACTGCCGCTCTGACTGCAGCAGACCGCACTGACCGCAACGGCCGCACAGACGCTGC